TGTCATTGAGTGTCCAGGGGCGGCAGTATCAGTTAATATCAGTTGAGCATCCTGCCAGTTTGCCCCTTGTTCTATTTTAAAAATCCGTAGCTCTAATGTCGCAAACTTGAAATTGCGCCGTATGAAACTCATTATTCGCAAAGTTTTTGACATTTAAAAATTGTCACACAACGGTGAGTAAAATCAAATACAGACCAAGTTGCAGGCACAAATTTAGTAAGTGGAGAACAAAGTGTATTAAACGCAACCAAAAACAAAGCATATGAAAACCCGTTTCGCAACACAATCTGCCAGGGCTATCCAGTTACAAAAATTGTGTTTTTTACATTAAAAGCAATTTACTGAAATTGCTAACTTGACTTTAACTTATCTAACTTAAGAAAGGAGAAAAAGATATATTATTGTGGGTATAAATTAGTAAAGAATAAATTAAACGAATAACAAAATAATTTTTGCCTAAAATAAATTTAATGTAAGGTTTTTAAAAATTAGTTTTTTTAACTGTATAGAATATTTAAATGCGCAGTTTAAAATTGACACTTACAAAATTGACTTTATTGTTTGAGGCATCGCAGTTAACAACTTAGTTAAAACTGAGTTTTATCCAATGTTAGTTTTTTTTTTCAAAAGCATATAACAATATATTCGTATTATTAATACTATAAAGTGAAAAAAAAACATACCATTTTAGAACCTCAAACGAAGAATATTTATAAGGTTATTTTATTGTAGGCACAATCTAAGGTAAAGGTCATCCAAACGAGCCTTTGCATTTTTCGTGACTCACTATTTTGACATTCAAATAATTAAGAAAGGAATGCGTTGCGAAACAATATATACGAATCGAATAATTGCGAAACGTGCTAACCTTATTTATTTTATAATAATCATATAATACATATATGAATTTATCTCAAACGCAGCAATCGCAATTTATTCCTTAACGCTTTTTATAGCCATCTTTTATACGGATTACTCTTAAAAATACTTGGTTTTCATACTGTTAAATAGCCCATTCTAAGAAAAAAATATAATGGGCGATTAGAAATTACACTACACTATACACATTTATTACAAAAACGTTTTTATTACGCAAAGAAAATAAAATGTACCCTTTTGGATCATTCTCTGCATTTAATTTTCTTTTTTATAATTCAGCTCGTTTAAAAAATACTAAATTCATTGAGCAAGACCAAAGAGAGAGTAATTCAGCAAGTATAAATTAAAAATATATAGAAAGATCCAACAAGAAGGTTTATCTTAAATACATAAAAACAAAACACGTGTAAAATGTCACGGTCAGCTTATTCTTGATCGTGACATTGTGACAGTTGACGTTGCAAGTAACGTGGTAAGAATCCATAGTTGTGCTGAGTATGAAGCCATACATTAAAACACGCGCTAAATTAATTTTGCCAATTTATAATGATTACGTTTCCATAATACGTTCTTAACCTGTGATTAAAAAGTCAGTACATATTTTAACGGCATGAGTAGTTAGCACAGACATCTAAACCAAATTTCTGATGTTGGCCTTAAAAGAATTTGAGTACATTTTCTCATTTATAAGTAATTTATAGATAATAAGCCAAAAAGTAAATAAAGATGATTTAATTATGTTTATTTAAATTATAATTATTTTTAGTTTAAAATTTAAATAACTAAATGTTCAATTAATGTAGCTAATAAAATAGAAATACCATAAAATATAAAAGCCATTGTCCTATGTTTTTAATAAGCCATCGATCGCATTTTCAAAGTAGGTTAAAATGAGCAATAGCCTGACTTACCAGGCGACTCTCAACCCTAAGGTTGCATACTTGAACCCCGGCTGGGCTGGCTCTCGCAGGAAATAAATATCGTGAATATTCCTAAAGACCCAATACTCGACGGAGTGAGTCAGGCACAGAAGGCTATTTGCCAATATGTATAGTAAAATAATCTACTTTTCAAATTTAAATACAAAAATATTTTAAAGGTAGTTAACAAATAGATACTCTACATGTTCTTACTTACCGGTTCTTTATCAAACATTCAATAGTAAACATGTATCGAGTGCATAATAAAAGTGCGCTTGTGATATTGTGAAAAACATTTTATAGCAAAAAGCATGACACACCGTTATCATTAATCGATTCAGAACGGGATAGCTCTGATAAATTAAATCGATTCTGTTTCACGCGTTCATAACTGATTGTTATAGTTATACTCTGTTTAGCTTTTTTCTTTTAATAGATTTTTGAAGTTATACTTCATTTGGCGCGTTAGGGAAAAATTATGAGTTATACGATAATTCTTTTGGCGCGTTAGGGAAAAATGTCGAGAGTAAATTTTTTCTATTGTTAGTGTAGTTTTTTGTAGAATAAGGCGAAAGATAAAAATTTTGAAAATATTTTTATCTTGTTACGCCAAAGGAGTATGAGTATAACTTCTAACGCGTGTACATAAGTAAACATACGTTTTTTTAAGTATATTTAATTTATTATTGTCGGATGAGAGAATTATTTATACAGTATTATATTTCACATGGCATCTATCATATATTAATTAAACAGTAAGTATTTACAACTTTTTTTACGATTAAAGGAGAGTCAAAGAGAGAGGACAAAGAGTCCAAGAAGTTTATGTCACCAATAAGATTCCATCAATAATTATTTTTAAAAGGAACGCAGGCTACTGCATCTCTATGACACAATATTTTACATATTTATCTGTGGCGTCATTGACTTTAACGCATGCGCGATTCTTCTGACTTTTGGCGCCATACGGTTATAATTTTGTCTTTTGTTGAACTACTGTAAGAAAACATCCGAAACCAATATACCAAATACAATATTTTGCCGTTAAAGAGATTGAGTAAGTTAATGCTTTTCTAGCAAAAATATAGCAGTGAATTCACCCAATATTTTAAATGCAAAAATAACCAAGTCCGGAACCTTCTAAACCTAACGTAACAAATACAATATACCTAATAAACAGATGGGCGTACAATTCTATAGAAACTTAATTGTAGTTATCATTGGTATAATGAACCTTTAGAAACTGGCTTTTCAAACAACATTGATAATAACCAACCGAACCTGTACTACCTTAAGAAGACAAAACTTTCAATCAATCCAAATTCGTATAATCCTTGACTTTCGCCATTCAATAGATACCAAATACATAATAAATAAATTATTATGAGTAAAGGATAGAGAGACTTTACAGTTATGTATATTGATTTTTTAGTCCATAAAACAATATAAGTAAAATATAAAATACAAAAAGATTATCATTGATTCGTATTAACTTCGCCGATTGAAGAGAATAGTCGTTATCGATAGACGAAAGCTATTATTTACCTTAATTGTGACTAGAAAGTGGTACTTTCTCGGTATTATGGCAGCAATTTTCAACTTCACGTTTATTTTGAAGAAGATTTCAACAATCGGAGTTATTGTCACGCTGTTATTTGTTTATGTTAAAGCGTAAAGTGTTATAAAATGCATAACTAATCGTTTTTTACGCTGGAGACGGGTTATGCGGAATTGCAGTACATCTATAGGGAAAATAGATTTCTATAATTTCAGAATGAAACCCAAACCAAACAGAATGGAGAAAATTAGAAATCTTTGTCCGAGACAAATAGAAGGATTTTTTAAATCTTTTCAAGTAGGGAGCCTTTGTAAACTAAAATTTATTAGAAATGTATTTTTTTAATATTTTAGCTATTGTATTACAAGAGTTCACTAAAGGAAATAGTTTTTCTTAATAAAATATTTTCCATTAAAGACAACTTTGCTAATAGTGAAACGTAGGTTATCATAATAATATGACGATCTTATAAAACGTCTGTGGCGTTTGGCGGTAAAAGACTGCTTTGTAGTTAAATATATATTTAACGCACTCATCGTTAGTTAATGAAAATAAAAGTCGACACTTAACGTCGGCTTTGGCTTTTAAGTAAAATAATGATCTTAGATACTATTAGTACTAGTACTGGTATTAAACATAAGATTATATAGCTTTGAACTATTTATGTACACTATGACCCTGGTTAACTTAGACATAACTTCGCAAAGAAGATTAAGCGCGATAAGGCTTCGTGTCGGTATACAAATCTTTGAGAACATAAGAAGATAATAATGCTTAAAATCGTACTTTGTAAATACTAGGTACTTTGTTTATAACATGTCATTACAAACAATCAAAAATAAATTATTGTATACCATACAAGGTATTCAGACCGGATATATAAATGATTTTGATATTGATATGAAAATTATGTGATGTAATGTGTTTTAGATGTATGTATTTATTAATGTTATTTATTTATTTCGTAATCCTACAGCTAATCATAAATTATATTATAATAACAAACAGTTACACTGAAAATATAGCCAGAAGATGGAATTCATAATACATTTTACTACAAAAGGAGTTCAAAAATTTACAAAATCAAACAAACAAAAAAAAATTATTCAATACATTCAACTAAATAATACCTAATTTGGCTGTGTTGTGTGATGGTGTAAAAGTGAGTGTAAGTATGTGAAGTATGTTTTAATGTTATATGACTGAGCAAACCAGCACTGTTTTGTCATTAATTATCCATTATTATTGTAAGTGACTGGCCAAGTCATTTGTAGCAATGAACCTACAAAACTCGATTAGGAATATAGCTTAATCATCACTTTTTGTAATAGCCTGACTAACACTTTGTGTACTTATTTTATTACGGCAATTTTACTTTTTCTAGAAATAGTTTATTCTTAATTCTAACTGTAAAATATGTGTTCAAAGTTTTCAAATTAAGGATAGAGTACTCCGTATCAGAAATAATAGGTAAGGAATTTTTTTAATTAAAAAAATGTTTCTTTAGATTTAAATATCAAGATATAATTAAGTAATATTACGTTCTAAAATTAATACTCATTATAAGGTCTATAATGTTATCTATGATCTAATTGTACTGCGAATGTGTCGAGATTTTGTATTGTTAGGTACGTACAATAGCTATGGAGGAACGTGCCATTCTGCCCGTTATGAAAGTAAATACGCAAATTAATGTAATATACACATTACAATATGTATTATTGATATTACAAATAACATGTTTCATGTGTAATTCAATCGATACGAGCGTGGCAAGTATATGTGTAACATGCAGATATTAATTACGCTTGTTTGTGCAATGTAATTCAAATTATAGCGGGTCAGATGAGCAGAAGCCTCGCTTAGAAAACATTAAGTAATTCGGTAATTAACATATTGGTTTTTGCATGTTTGCTATCTTTATGTGATGTACAACTTGGTTGTAACCCTTGGTAGCTTTTATTTTTCTTTAACATTTGGAACATTTTAGTAAAGTCAATACCACCGATTTACCTCAATCCCTTAGATCACTTTCTAATAGCAGGTTACTGTCGATTGCTTTCAAACAACGTACAATAATATGCTTAGTTAAGCACAAACGGCTTTAGAATATTGATTTTGCTATTTCCCGTGTAATAAATATAGATCAGAATATGAAACAACGGTCGCTGTTCGTGACAATGCGACAGTGAAAGTGTCGCCTTCATCCGTCCATCGGCACCGAGTTAGAGAGAAGTGCATGAAAATATTTTAATACATGCATTACGTTATTGTATTAGCACTAATTAGCCACAATGACGACAGTGCCGTCATGGCTGCGCGGGAGTCACCTGAGTGCATTAGCCAATATAAACTAGGCTAAGATTTACGTCACTTGCATATCAATTATTGTATTTATTTTAGTTTAAAATTACTAAAATAATAAACGAATAAATATGTTGATGAGATTTGTAATAGAACATCACAAGTCCAATATAACGTTTTATAGTGCGATTATGTATTATTTTATTACATTAAAACATTTTTGACTATTGACCGAAACTAATTTCAATGTCAAACAAATCACGGAAGCATAATAAATTACAAAATGATTTGTGCAATAAAAATATTATGGTAATTTTAATGAGGCTTTGTAAATATTGCTATTCACGTTACGATTACGATACCCATCAAACAAAACTGACACCAATTGCCAATACAAAGTGTACTCCGATTACGTCAGTTACAGGCTGTCAAGTATAACTTGGCGTTCTAAAGGCGCCTCGTACACTGTATTTGTTACTAAATTTCATTATTTTCGCCAAGCTCTTGAAAATAATATATTTATGTAATGTAGGTTATTTAAGTAAGTTTTTAAAAGGTTCTGTTTGTTAAATTAAAACTAAACGACGCTTGCAAGACCACCAAACTTTTAGACTTTACATTTATTAAAATTTGTCTTTTTACCACATGCCAACTTACACTTGTCGGACTGTATATTAGCACAACGTCTTTCTCACACAGGTGACACCTTTGCCCGTTCTCAATTTACGAACAATACTTTATATGAACTCGAAACGCGAGAACTAGGAAGTTGCAACTCAATACAGTAACCTCATAATTAGGTTTCCTTGTGACAGTTAAGTGCCACTTCATGCATGATTACTGTGTGGAACAGATCTTTGATTTTGATCAACTATCAAGATATTTGCAACTTCAGGATATTAAAAACTCCTTATGTTCTATTATTCAAAATACAGGTCTAACATTATAATGTAATTTTAAGTTTAGCGATAAGATTAATTTATAAAAATTAAACCAACTCCAAATTGTTAACACGATTTACCTAGGTATGATATATTTATTAGTTTCCGTGAAATTTTTGGAAAAACACACAGGTTAAACATAGTTTATATGTACATTCTATGCCTATTGCCTTTGTGTAAATAAGGATATTAGGATACTAAATTATAAATAAGGAAATATTTAACCCAAGTGTTACATAATTATAATTAAATTATTAAAAACAACTTAATTTAACCTAACATTCCATACGCTCGTTTCAGTCAATAAAAATTTCGCTTATTAGTAAGAATGTGTAATGAAAATGGCATGATATATTTAAAAAAAAATGGAAATTTAATGTAAAAAAACATAATTGTAATATCTAACGAGACTAATTTGTTTTAAATTATTAATTAAATAAAGATTTCGAATAATGTTTTATTAAATAACTCTTTCTCGTTTAAACGATGCATCATTGAGTTAAGCTACCCTAGAGACATGCCGTCACGACCTTTTTGGAAGCCATATAAAGGATTTCGAAACCATTTCATATGATACATAGGTTAAGATATGCGATACAGGCCAGTCCCAGACGTTTGATAACTGAAACCGACCTACCCTACCCCAGTCCTGATGGTCCCAAAATATTATTTTATCAATTATTTTTTAAATAATTATATAATCTTTGTTCCTCATTGATAGAGTAGATTTATCGCGAGAAAGTAGTAATCATAATCCACAAAAGGGTTTAAAAGATTCATTACAACCTAATAAAGAGATAAACAAAAATTCTAATTTAATTAGAGAGTAGATGAACGTACACACAAACACAGAGCACAATTTATAAATTAACAATTCAAACAGGGTGTAAACTCAAAATTCATCAAAATGTTTTGATAATCACCTCGTTAAGTCGCCACAAATTAAAACGATTCACATTACCATAATATGACCGTTTAAAGACCACACAATAAAAGCAACAAACTTTCATAACGGTGTACAATAAATCTGTAATATTTGATTCTGCCTTTGTCTGTATTTGTGCCAAGGTCCCGTCTCTCCAAAAATTATCAATATACCGGTTGTATATTAGTTTATGTTTGAAAGCGTAACAAACACACATTCGCATTTATGTAATATCACATTTCCATGTTGCATCGAAGCATGAATTTCCGGTGTCCTTTGTTTGGCAAATCATAAGGTGGAAACGAAGGCGTGGCTCGCAATAAATTAGTTCAAATGACACAGATCAATGCTCAATGAACTACAGACTAAATTCATAACGCTCATTCTTAATCAATCATAAATATTTACCGTGAACATTATTAACTAATGTGTTTAGAGCACGCATATAGTAAAGTATAATTTTAATTCATATTTAGTTTCTTATTTGATAACATCACTTTCTCTTTTAAGGATTTAAAAATTAAAATACACTGACGGACTCATGAACTGCATCAAAGTAAAAAACAATTTTGAAATAAATATTTTAAACAAGTATGCAAACTTTCTACACAGATTTAAATTAAAATAAAAAGAAATTTAAAGAAAATTGGTTTAATTAAAAAATTGGTTTAAACAATAGACAAGCTTTATGCAAGGGTTTTTTATGTTTTAATAAGAGGTATTACCTCCCCGTGTCCTTATTATGGATTCTAATCGGTTCCGCATAGATTTGATTAGGGTTATTAAAACATCTTGCGAAATATTGTCCAATTCTTCTGAAAGTGCTGTTCTTAGTTGTGCCACTGTCGTAGGTACAGGATTTCTCGCATATACAGCTCTTTTTAAATTGTCCCAAAGAAGCTCAATGGGATTATGATCCGGGCTGCGTGCTGGCTAACTCATTGTCTCAGACCATGCACGAACCGCCTCCTAAAGGAACACGCTCCTCAATGCAACTTTGAGCATATCGCTTCCCACGTCGACGATAGACTCTTCTGCGACCATCTGAACCATATAAACATGTCCTACACTCGTCTGTGAACAATACGGAGGCCCATTGCTCATCTGTCCAATTTAGGTGATCACGCGCAAATCTTAAGCCAGCTTGTCTGTGAGTTATAGACAACTTTGGACCATTTGTTGGTCTAAAAGGGTGAATGCTTCCTTTAACCTTCTTATTATTGTTCGTGCACTACGTTTACTCCACGACTTCATTGTCTGTTTTGATGTTAATGAGTGAGGAAACGATAATAAGGAATTTTGTAACAATAAATGGTCATCACGCCGGTGGTTGCTGGGGACGTCTCCTTTTGTAAGAACCTGTCTTCACAAACCTTCTGTATTGGGGTTTAAATTTAAATTTCTACCAATCGTTCGTTGATCCAAGCCCTACCGCACCAATGCTACAAGTTGAGCAGCTTGTTCGGACGAAGTATCCATGTTATGGTTCAAAAACTCTCGATGAGTTAAAAAGCTAACCCAACAATTCTACTGGTAACAATAATTCAATTGTCAAAAGAATAAAAAATCAATAAGAATCAATTTAAAAAAAACACGCAAATCTGATACTACGAGTAAATTTTCTTTACCCGGCTATATTGATTTGTTTTACTGCAGTTCTATTTTAAAATGTTGCTTTTTTTTAAGATAAAGGGCCAGTCTCTCCATATTTATATAATTTAATCTAAAAAGTTTGCATACTTATTTAAAAAATCATTTCAAAGTAATGCTGAAGTTTGATGCAGTTTATGAGTCATTCAGTATATAAAAGAAAAATTAAAGTCACTCATAGAAGAGAATAAAGCATTAAAAGAAGAAGTACACACATTAAAAACCAAAGTCCAGTTCTTAGAAAAACAAAGCAAAATTAATAATATTATTATTATTCATGGAATACATGAATCGGAGAATAATTACACTGAGCTGTTAGAGCTTATTTTAGAAAAAATAAATATTGTCAGTAAGAATGCAAATATTGATAAGTTTAACAAAAAGCAAATCAGTAACGTACGAAGATTGGTGCAGAAAAACATTAGAAATTCAAGACCAATACTAATAACTTTAACATTAGCTTGGAGAAAGGTTGAACTTCTGAGGAATAGAAAAATGTTTCCGAAGAATATATATGCAACAGAGGACTATCCAAAAGAAGTTTTAATCAAGAGAAAAGAACTAAAAATTCAACTTAAAGAAGAAATTTCTAATGGAAAACTGGCCTACATCAGATATGACAAACCAATAGTTAAGGATAAACAAATTGAAAAAGAAAACGGGCACTGTCTACCCCACCTGCTGACTCTGTTGAAGACACAAGCAAGAATGAGAGTAAAACTACACCAGTGACAAAATTCAGTAAGGTCAATGCATTTGAAAAAATGAAAACTAGATGCCACACTGTAACAGAAAAAGGTAAAAACTAGCAATTAAACATCGGCAACCGGAAAATAAAAACTAAAATAAATAGTACCAATAAACAAAATCAAACAAATAAACATAATCAATCAAATAAACCAAATCAAACAAATAAACAAAATCAAACAAAAGAAGCATTCCCCAACCCGGCTGGTCCCCGTGGCGAATTAGACCACATCCCCCCAAAAGAATACCAACAAAAGAACCAGATTTATATAGCAACCTTTAATGTACGCACACTGAGAACAGACGTATGATAATCTGCTAGAATTGACAATGGCACTGGAGAGCATAAAGTGGAGTATAATAGGAATCAGTGAAGTTATATAAATAGGAGACTATGGCGATTTTGGTCTATGTTCTAAGGGAGAGACACCAGGCAATATGGCGTCATCGGCGGTTTCATCATACATAAAGAAATAATAATAAAGTATAGCAGTCCTAAAAACCATGCTACCTTTATTTAAAAAGGAATGGACCATAGTACAAGTATACTCGCCTACAGAGTAATCTTCTGACAGCACCATTGAATCCTTCTATAAAAAACTAAACAACACTTTAACCGAATTAGGTTCAACAAATTTAATCCTGATGGGAGATTTTAATGCTCAAATAGGAACTAGGAAAGACGGTGAAGAAATCATAATGGTGAGGTCCCATTATCCCATACCAGGGAAAAAGATCAAGAAATGGACAGAAACTAATAGATTTAGCTTTTGAACAACACTTAGTCATTTTAAATTCACTATACAAGAAAAAACAAAACAGAAGATGGACATGGTCATCCTCTGTCGGGCGCTATAAAAATAAGATTGACTATAATATACTTACCAATAGTGCCAGATCATTCGAAGATCGTCAAGTCATTTCAAATTTAAACTTTGACACTAACCATCGAATGGTGCTTACCCAGCTTAAATCTACAGCAATAAAATGTACTAGGAAATTCACTAGCCACCAAAAAGAAACAACGAAAAATAAAGGACCACAACTAACAGCCAAACAACTGGATGTAGAATTGAAGAACATAGAAGAAGATCTATCAGAGCTGAATACACTGAAAATCTACAGCAAATTCTCAGATATTCTAAGTAAATTTAGTACGAAAAAAGAAGTACATGGCAAAAGGAAAAGATATATTGTCGGAAAAGAAGAAACAAATAATGGAAAAAAGGGAAAAATTATACAAACTTCCCCTAAAACAGTAGAAGTTCAGAAGAAGAAGAATCATTGCTCAACTAAGCAAAGATCTAAGAATGAGTATGCGAAAAGACAGGAAATTACATAGACTACGAACTTTGGAAAACCTAATTGAAAAAACTGAAGGAACTAAAAAAGCCATAAAACTACTACAAGAAAAGGAGCAATGGATACACCTAATTTAAAGATTTATCTGGTAAAGACAAAACTAAAGACCAGATATTATAAGTATTGCCACAGATTATTACAGAGAACTGTACTCAAATAGATCAACAATTGAACACATTGAGCTACTTGACTCAGATAAAGTACCATCCATTATGAAATGCGAAGTCGAAAAAGCAATCGGCACACTGAAGCGAGACAAAGCACAAGGTCCTGATAATATTTCAAATGAAGTGCTACTTGAAACAAAGTATATACATAATTACACCATTCCTGACTAAACTCTTCAACACTATCCTGGAAACGGAAAGTATTCCAAAACAGTGGACTGTATCGTCTATTAAACTACTGCATAAAAAAGGTAACAGAGATGACATTGGCAATTATAGACCCATAAGCCTAATGTCCAATTTATATAAAGTATTTTCAAAAATTATTTTAAGCCGTATCAGTAAAACTTTGAACGAAAATCAACCCAGGGAGCAGGCAGGCTTCAGAAACAACTACTCGACAGTGCACGTTGACAGACAGCTGAAAAGAATATAACATCCAATTTTACTGTTGCTTTGTAGACTACTGCAAGGCATTTGATTCACTGGACCACTCAAAAATTTGGGAAGCTTTGCGAAAGCAGGGTTTCGAGCACAAATACATAAGGATAATTAAGAACATCTACACAGGCATCACAGTAAAGATCAAAATGGAAAAGGAAGGCTGTGACATAAATATCTTTAGAGGAGTAAGACAGGGCGACCCTCTATCGCCCAAACTGTTTACAGCTGTTCTAGAGGAAATATTCCGAAAGTTAGATTGGACAGAATATGGCTTAAATATAAATGGCGATAAACTGACACATGTGAGATTCGCGGACGACATAGTGGTATTTGCAAGTACGGCAGAAGAATTACAAACAATGCTCATAGAATTGAATACAGCTAGCAAAGAAGTTGGACTCTTAATGAACATCCAAAAAATTAAAGCCATGACCAATGGTAGGAATGACAGAGTAATAAAAATAGATGACAACACAATAGATTATGTATCAGAATATCTTTATTTAGGTCAACTACCATGATTCAACTACAAAGGAAATAGACAGAAGAATTGGAAATGCATGGAAGAGATATTGGTCCCTAAAAGAAATTATGAAAAATAGTCAAACAAGCATGCACATCAAGAGAAAACTTTTCAACATATGCATCCTACCAATTCTTACATACGGCTGTCAAACATGGGCACTTACCAAAGCACAATGTGAAAGATTAAGTGTAACCCAAGCCATGGAAAGAAGCATAATAAAGAAAAGAAGAATTGACAAAATAAGTAACAAGAATTTAAGAGATAAAACCGGGTTTCCTGACGTTGTGTAGGTACAAAACAAAAGAACTAAAATGGAAATGGGCTGGACATACCATATGGATCAGATAAATGGAGCAAAATTGTAACACTATGGCAACCAAAAGGCCATTAAAGAAACAGAGGTAGGCAATTTAAAAGGTGGGCCGATGAAATCATGGAAATGGCTGGAAAGACTAAGACCTGGACGAGATTGGTATACAATAAGGAAAAATGGAGGACAATGGGGGAGGCCTTTGCCCGTAGGCACACAGAATCAGTTATCGTAGATTAAGAAAAATAATATTTATAATGTATATATTTTGTATTTCTGATATAAGGCTATAAGTAAATAAATAAGTAAATAAATTAACTTGAATTACCTGACGTTAGCGTGTTCCTTATTTCTAGCATGAATATTTTGCTTCGTTTGTAGGTAATATGATTTACCTGCGGTAGGTTTGTGGTTGTATTTAGTGCGACGTTCGGTATGATTAGGTGCGGTGAGGTGACATTGAAAATTACTAGTTCAACATAATGCACCTACTATTTTATACTCACACTCATGAGCCACACATGAGCCTGGGAAATTGTCAAAAAAGCATCAGCGACTGACCACTGACCAATGGGTCGTTCCCGATATCGCGAGGTCCATTGAGTACTAAATGTGGGTAGTTGAATGTGTAAATAGTGGGAAAAAAACACCCCAAAAAAAAAAAAAAAAAAAAAAAAGGGGGGAAACCCCCCGGGTTCCCCCTTTTTTTTTTTTGGGGCGGGGGGGGGGGGGGGGGTCCCCCCCCCCCCCGGGGGAAAAAAAAAAAAAAAAAAAACCCCCACCTTTTTATCTTTTATGTTTCCTAATAATAGTATAATTCCCAAAGAAATTTTATTCCAATTATTCGCAGGCCAAATAAAAACTGTACCCATTTGACGCTGTAATTTAATAATTACCGGAAATTAAAATAAAAACCTAGAATAATTAGAATTTTGAATACAGAACCTGTTCATCGATGTAGTCTCCTCCTCGGTGAGATCCTATTTTACCCTATATTATAAATGAGTTATGAATATTTTGATGAACGAAATAAGATGATAAAACTAAAATAATAATCGATTACCGATTAAATTTAATTAACTTACGTCACAGTATAAAAATTTCATTTATCGATAATTTATATTGTCACTAGTATTTTACACGAGTTACTTTTGAGTATCTCCAAGATATTATTTATAGATAACGAGTTATCCTTAATTATGTTATATAATAATAGCTACTTCATATAATATCTACAACTTAGAATGTTCAGAGTATACTGTAAATTACGAAATAGTTACAAAAGTATTTCAGTCTAAATCTAATATATACTGCTCAAAACAATTAGCGGAACAAGATTTTTCTCCTTTCTATTGTTTTAAACTAAAATTAGATTTAAATTAACTTGTACGCTATTTTTTACCTTGTTAATTTGTTAATTACTACAATTAATAAAAAAAATCAATTTGTATTTTTTTATTAAAAAAAAATTAAAATGTGCATTGTAGACGAAAAACTAATTGGTGATAAAAAAGATCCATCAAAGAAATATTCTTATATCGGTTGAATATTCGTCTTTAGTGACTTTCAGTAACGTGTGTAGCCTCCATGAGCCCTAATCACGGCTTGACAACGACGCGGCATGCTTCGTATGATCCTCCGAATGTTATTGTTTTGAGCAGTATATATTCTTCTAACAAAAATAATTATTATAATTACAAAATTTATTCGTCTGTTACGTAAAAAAGTAGATTGAGAGTGCATGATAACTTTTAGTGCTCTTTTATAAAATATATAAGATAAATATAATCAAAGCAAGCAACCATTAAAACATGATCGCAATTCCCGTATTTATTCTGAATGCTAAGAGATGACATTATTTTTGATTCGACAAATTCTGTGAAATGTTCGTCCTTGTTAGTGACTGTATAACCACAGTGTAGTACTAGAGGGTAGAACTAAAGAATATTTATATCGACTTAGTTCTGTGAACACAGTGAAAACTTTTTGATTTTTCAGATTTCATCAATGTGAGAAACATGAGAAGCGATATGGCGTACCGTGGGCTGTCGCAGCATGTTGAGCTGGACAGGGCTGCGGACCCTAGTGACCGGTATACCCTCCAGGACCTCATAGGTGAAGGCACCTATGGGGAGGTGTACAGTGCTCGCGATAAGAAATCCGGAAAACGTGTCGCTGTCAAGGTAATCCAATTACAATTATTGTACAAAATGTAAAACTCTTGCATTGAAGATATTATCGTAATAAGTTACTATTATTGATTCCACAAACTAATAATGTTGGATAAACACAATTAAGAAACAGATTAAATATTAATGACATTACATATACCACAGTTGATATTTAACATATAATGACGTTTTAATTTTGAGGTCCTAAAATGTAACCTTTTTTCTGAGACCAAGTATACGTGCACGTATATTTGATACCCTCTGAGATTTAAGAAAACGTTTCTGGACTTAGAAAGAGGATGTAAATATTATTTATATCTTTATACTATTAATTTAAACAATTAGCAAAAACATTGAAACCATGTCTGTGTGTAATGAATAATCCAAATGTATTGTTACAAGTGGTAAGTAGTTGCGTAGACAGATCTTATCTCACCAGAATCCGTGTCAAGGCCACTAAACAATTCGTAATTTACCTACATCTCTATAGCCTTTGTGTCAATGGTCATTATTGTCCTGCAATTGAATAAAATAACCTTAATCAATGTAACAAAAAATATGATATTGCTATTAGAATTTCTCAAGGTTTACTTTTTGTCAGTCAAAAATTCTATTTATTCTAAATTTGGCAGATTCTGGAAAATATCGCTGAAAATATTGAAGAAATTGAAGAGGAGTTCCTAGTCTTTCGTGATCTCTCTAGTCACCCTAATATTCCAGAATTCTTCGGTTTATTTTTGAAGCGTGGAATTTCATCGGAAGATGATCAAATATGGTTCGTCATGGAGGTTAGTTGTTTACTGTCTGTTTTAATTATTAATTCAAAATTTTACGCCTAATGACTACTTCCTACTTCATATATAAACTGCGTGAAGCGTGTAGTTAGAATTCTGGAAAAAACAATAATGGAAATTAAATCTTAGCATATAGTTTTATTGACTATAAATAGTCATATTAACATTCTAGCTCTGTACTGGAGGCTCAGTCACTGACTTAAGCGCCGGAATGCGAGCAAGAGCTTCAAGTCTTACAGAACCACAGCTTGCCTATGTTTTGCGTGGTACTGTGCGGGCACTTACACATCTACACGCGCATAGATGCATGCATCGTGACGTCAAAGGACACAACATTCTTTTAACCGAAAATGCTGAAGTCAAACTTGTCGATTTTGGAGTATCGTCTCACTTGGCTGCCACAATAGCGAGACGAAACACATCAGTTGGAACTCCATATTGGATGGCACCCGAAGTACGTAATAAAACATCAATATACCATATACATACCATGAAAGACAATATGATAAAAAATCTTAATATAAAATTACAGTCGTTCACGCTGGCCAAAATATAAATTAATAATTTCCTTCAAGTACAAAGTTCATATTTCTCTTTTTCAGGTGATAGCATGTGAACAACAGTTAGATCAATCTTATGACTGTAGATGTGATGTATGGTCAGTTGGCATAACAGCTATTGAATTAGCTGAAGGCGAACCGCCACTATCTGGACTACATCCAATGAGAGCGTTATTCCAAATTCCTAGAAATCCACCACCAAGTTTATCCCATCCAGAAAATTTTTCTCCTCAACTTTCGGATTTTATTTCAGAATGCTTAGTCAAAGATATGAATCAAAGGCCGTTTGCGCGTGAATTATTAGAGCACCCATTACTATTGGCTGTTAGTAGTTTTGAAGACAGTGTAAGTATGCTCCTATTTAATTTTAATAATGCTTTAACAGGGGTGTGTAGTTCTACCCAATATATAACGTCTAATCATATCAAATCTATATCTATTCGGTGACTACGTCATACATTTTTAAAATATTTAATTGACACTATTTTACAGATTCGTAAAGAACTTCAAGCTGAAATAAAAAGACAGCGAGCTGAAGGTCGCAATTGTCGAGCTGCTGAAGCAACGACGAAACGAGGAAAACTTAAATCCCATAGAAAAGCTAAAGCAGAAAAAATGTATACTGATGATCTTGCTACTCTCGAAGTGCTTACTGAAGAAGCTATTGTGGAACAACTTCAAAAGAGATATGCTCAAAACCAAATCTATACCTACATTGGAGATATTTTGGTGGCTGTAAATCCTTTTACAGATATTGGAATTTATACGATTAGGGTGCGTAGAAAATGCAACTAAACATTGCTGAAAAACTCGAAACTAAATTTTTACCAATTATGTTTTAGACTCAAGAATTGTATCAAGGACGTTGTCGATCCGATAACCCACCCCATATTTACGCAGTTGCTGATGCAGCTCACCAAGCTTTGATGCATCAAAAACAAAACCAAGCTATTGTTATATCTGGAGAAAGTGGAGCAGGGAAAACTGAATCTGCAAACCTCATATTAAAACAGCTAGTGTACCTATCAAAAGTTAGTAATGTTTTTATATACTTTCAAATACTTCTTACTAATTGAAAAATACTTTATAATCTGGCAATTGTGTTGATATAGACTCAAAGTGGAAATTTACAAGACAAAATCTTGCAAGTAAATCCAATAATGGAAGCGTTTGGAAACGCACGAACTGGAATTAATGCTAATAGTTCACGGTTTGGAAAATACTTAGATCTAAATATGATGAAAGTTGGCAAAATATCCGGAGCTAGAATAACCGTGTATTTACTTGAACAATCTCGAGTTGTTCATCAAGCATTGTGAGTAAATATTTGTCAATACTTTTTGTTAAAGTATGAATATTATTGTAGTCAATATATTCGCGCGATTTTCAGAGGTGAAAGCAATTTTCACGTTTTCTACTATCTGTACGATGGTCTTGAAAGTGAGGGTCGCTGGAGGAAGTTTTATCTCGATGAACAATTAAAGTCGAGACATCGATATTTACAACCACTTTCCGTTGCTCATCGCGAACATAACGTTTACCGATGGAGACAATTAAATCAAGCTTTTAAGGTAAATACTAAATGTATACGAAATTATACAATATTTAAAAAAAAAAGAGGATATACTTTTGTGTAATATATTTATTAATTTAGGTGGTGGGATTTCACGAAGAGGAAGTACAAGTATTATACAAAATGCTAGCAGCAATATTGCACTTGGGAGATATAGAGTTCGCGGAAACTGCAGAAGATAATTCTGATAATAGAGCAACTATTATTGACACTGCGCCATTACATAGGGGTCAGTAACATTTATGTAAAAAACTATTATACGCTGTGATTGTATTAAATTTTTGAAGTTTGTCTTGTTTTTTTCTATTTTAGCGTCATGTTTATTGGGGGTTGAAACCGTCGATCTTAGAGACTGTTTGACAAGCAGCAGTGTAGTTACGAGAGGAGAGACAATAAACCGATATTGTTCACCGGTAGAGGCGGCTGTAGCCAGAGACGCGACCGCCAGGGGTCTGTATGCCAGAGCCTTTGATAGAATCGTCGAGAGAATTAATGCTTTATTAACTCATAATCGACCTCAGAGGTATGTAATAGAAGAACTTTAGTTTTATAGAGAGGAGCCTGGCGGTGGATTTGTTAGACATAAGCTGTACGCCATTTGAGTTGTAATTCAAGAGCAATATTTATGATTTTTACAGTAATGATCAACTATCTATTGGTATCCTGGATATCTTTGGATTTGAAAACTTTACGAGAAATTCATTTGAACAGTTGTGTATCAACGTCGCAAATGAGCAAATCCAGTATTACTTCAATCAGCATATATTTACTTGGGAACAGCAGGAATACATGGCGGAAGGGGTTCCCGTTGATCTTGTAGAGTTTTCAGACAACAGACCCGTTTTAGACATGCTGCTTTCACGACCTATGGGACTACTCGCTCTTCTGGATGAAGAGAGCCGGTTTCCACGGTCAACAGATCGAAGTCTCATAGGTAACTACAAAGCTTCAAAGTAAAATTAATTGATAATTTCTGTGTATCCTAACAAGTAACGTTTATTGGAGTCCATTGTCTTGATAATAGTTTATACAATCTGTTCAAAAATTTAAAATTTATATTTCTGTCTATTTTCTTAATTTCTAAACAATTGTTCTTTGATTTTTTTTTTAGAAAAGTTTCACCGCAACATTAAGAGTAAATTCTATGTTCGTCCGAAATCAGATGCCATATGTTTTGCGATTCACCATTTCGCCGGACGTGTTGTGTACCAGGCTGATGGCTTTCTGGAGAAAAACAGGAACTTTTTACCTCCAGAAGTGGTACAATTAATGCGACAGAGCCAGTACGATGTGATAAGATTTCTTTTTCAGTGTCCCATAACGAAAACGGGCAATCTCTACTCACCCTTGCAAGGCGATTTAGATTCCAGAACATTGGATGGACCTACATCAGGAGATTTTCGGGTAAGGCGAATCAAATATAAATATGTATTAACAACAATTATAAATCTAAAGCAATGTAAATAATCTCAATATTTATTTATTTTTTTATTTATATGTATTTGTTTTTCTATTGCAAATAACATTTATTTATTTTACAGTGTGTTAGTTTAATACATAAATATAAAACAATACAAGTCCTATATATAATAATACCTAAGTCATCTTTTAAAATACGCGACACAGTTATAGGTGTTCATCTCCCAAAATATTTTTTTTTTGCTTTCGGATAGGATTTCTCGAATTCTTTCCCTTACTGCTTTGACTACCTTTTTCGTACGAACACAAAGTGGACGGCCAGATATTTTTTTGTCACAAACAGAAGAGGTCTCATTGTACCTATTAATAGCCCGGTACACAAACATTTTACTAATTCCAAGCGTATGGAGAGTTTTAAAAATTGTAGTTTAACGATTGTATGTATCGCAAAATATTGTAGCCCCCCCCCCCCCCCTTTTTTGGGGTTTGCCCCCCCCCCCTTTTCCCAAACCCCCCCCACAACACAAAAAAAAATTTTGGGGGAGCCGCCGGCTTAGTTAACATACCTATCTGCAAAATAATGTATTGGCGCCAAAATGAGAAAACATAATGAACAATCATAATATAAAACTGACATATTCCAAATTCAAATGTAATATTTTATTTTTAATTTTAACAGTATTTATGGCCAGACTAAGTATATTTCTAACCATAAACCAGCTATAAAATTAAATTATGTTAAGATGTATTTTTATAAGGGAAATAAGTTTTTTTAAATTTGTTTGTTAGAACTCCAAGAGTTCTCTTAGTATTTTAGGACATTTCATTAAAATGATTTTTCAGGATCGATTCAACAGTCGAGGTCTCGCATCACAATCCCGGGCTCAGCAGACGGTAGCCACTTATTTCCGATATTCTTTGATGGAACTTCTACAGAAAATGGTCAGTGGTACGCCTCAGTTCGTCAGGTGTTTAAAGCCAAATGATTCCCGATCGCCAAAACATTTCGATTCAGCGAAAATACTAAAACAATTGCGTTATACTGGAGTACTGGAAACCATAAGGATCAGACAGAATGGGTTTTCCCATAGATTGACATACGAAGAATTTATCAAAAGGTAAAATACACGTCATACTTAAAAAAAACTAGATTATAATCGAGATAATTTCGTTGTACATATTTTAATTATTTTATCGAAAAAAAAAGTTCAAACTAAAATTTTTAATTTATTGTGCGGATATTACAATTTAACCTAACAACTAAATGTACCTGGGTTTTCTTATGACTATTTCCGTGCCTGTTTGAGAACAATATTTATTGTATAGATTGTCAAAGAACTCTAATCTTAATAATTATTTACAGATACGGCTTCTTAGCCTTTAGTTATAACGAGGAAGTAAAAGCAAATCGCGATTCGTGTCGTCTACTTCTGATACGGCTAAGAATGGATGGTTGGGCGTTGGGTAAATCGAAGGTGTTCCTTAAATACTATCATGTTGAGACTTTAGCGAGAATTTATGAAGAACAGGTACGTTTAAAACCTATATTGTTTATAGTGATCATTAATCGGGGCCATTGAACCCTGTTCATTCGACCGAGTCCAACTTTACTTATTAGTTAAAAAATGTGCAATACTTTTCTAAGGTAAATCGGCTTCTACTAACGTAACTACTCCTTAGTAGGCTCTGCCTTAAAGTTAAGGTATAATACTTAATGGAATTTATTTCGCCCCAATAAAATTAATTTAAAGTCATGCAATATGACCATTTCATTCCTACCATTTACTCAGCTCAATTACATTAAATAATATAGCTTAAACAATTTACAGATAAAAAAAGTGGTGCTCGTTCAAGCTCAAGTTCGCGGCTGGTTGGCCAGACAACGGTACCAACGTCTACGCGCTCAGATGGCGATATCAGCATTGACGTTGCAACGACACGTGCGTGGCTGGCTCACTAGGAAGAGGTTGGAGAAGGAACGACAGAAACTGCTTGCGCGGGAGTTCCAAAGAGAGCAAGATAAATCGAGAAAACAAGAAAGAGGTAGAGAGATAAATTATTTTTAAAGTAATATAAACATTGTACCGACCTTGTCCGACTGTAGGACTTTCTAAGTGGCTTGTAATTCGTTCTAGGCTACAGAGTAGATTAGACCAAATACAATTATTGATTATATTTGCCATACTTTGTGAGATAGGTTATATTATTTTAGAATGCGTACAAACAAACCACGCACATATGACAAACCAATTACATGAAATAATTTTATAGTATAGCCTCAGTTCAGATAAAGGTAACAAAGAAGTACACTTTAATATCAAAAGAAGTTCTCAAAAATTTCACAAATTCTTATTGTTTCCTCCCGCCTACTCAATATGCTATTGGAGGACTTTTACGTTTAGAGAATTATCACTAAATAAATTCAAAGCCCTCGTTAAACGGAAATTAATCTATAAAGCTTTTTATAAATTTGAGGAATACTTAAATGATCCTAATCCTTGGGATTGATTTGCTCCAGTTCAAACAATTTGTATGACAATACTTGGCGATTAAAAAGAGTGGCGGAAAGTTTCTTGCCAGTTCTTGTTACCCGCTCTACGCCCTTGACTTGCGAACTGGTAGTAAATGTAAATTTACAATTAATTTAACTTGACAATTCTTAAGTGTAATAATTCTAACCTTTTTTTTTTTTTTTTTTTTTTTTTTTTTTTTTTTATTGTTGGGAAATCAATTTACTGACCCCCGCGCCGGGGCAACGATTTAAAAGTGGCGCAGGGAGTGTGGGAGTCAGTCCGTATGGTGCAATGGACACCTACCCACTAAAACCCAACAGCCCCATCTGTTCGCTATGGACGGTAGGCGCGGTAACAGTTTCCCTTAATCCGTGCCTCCGTCATGAGCGTCTGCTGTGTGAGCACATATTCTGCGTTGCCCAATCCTGTCCTAAGGTCCCAGTGGAGTACGTGCGTAATCGCGACGTCTCCTTCCAGGCCTTTTTTTGCGTTGAGGGTCGGCGTCTGGGTTACACTCCCGAACCCTCTCCGCATTCTCTTTAAGTGTAATGACGGCTTCACAGAACGCTTTGAAAGTGTTCCATGGGCCGTCACTGTCAGCCTCCATCATAGCTTTAACTATGACTGGAAGCGACAGGTCCAATCCGAAGGTGGCGGTTAATAGGCTACGTTCAGAGCTCCACGCCGGACAAACCTCTAAAGTGTGTTGCGCTGTGTCGTCTGCGAAACCACACTCGTGACAAATGGGGGATGCCTCCCTCCTGGCAACCCTGTGAAGGTATCCACCGAAACATCCATGGCCTGTGAGGACCTGAACGAGTCGGTACGAGAGTGCCCCCCATCTTCTATTTACCCACAAGTTGAGCACTGGACGTATAGATGTAATTGTCCAGACTCCTGCCCTGTGATCTTGTAACTCATCCATCCATTTCTGAAGGACGGTCACTTGGGCTTCCCGTCTCCAGCTGTTTATGTGCTCAGGAAGGGGTCGAAACCCCTACTTCTACTATCTGCCCTATGCCAATAGATCTTGGCTAGGGCAGCCGCTCGAGGTGCCAGGGGGCAGTTCCTGCAATAACACACGCTGCCTCGCAAGAGACGGTGCGGTACGCCCTTGCCACCCTTATGGCCATCGCCCGTTGCGACTGTCTTAGAATCGCCCTGTTTTGAGCGAATAGACAATCGGCCCAAATGGGGCATCCGTAGAGGACCTTCGCCCGGACCACACCTGCAAATAACCGGCGACACCCCGCAGTCGGCCCACCAAGATTTGGCATTAACCGGCAGAGTGCCATAGCCGTGGTAGCGAGCTTCGGGGCAAGTGCCGAGAAGTGATCCTTAAAAGTCCATCGAGAATCGAGGACAAGCCCGAGATACTTTAAAGTGGGGCTTACTCTTATGGGCACACCACATACGACCAATTGTGTACCGTCAGGAGGAGCTCGTCTTGGACCGTGGAAACAGACCGCCCCAGATTTCTCGAGGGCGACTTGGAGGCCAATGCGCCTTATTTGCGCCACAACCTGTGCCACCCCCGCCGTTGCGAGGATGCAAGCTTCTCTGTATGTACGACCTTTTGCAGTGATAAGTGTGTCGTCGGCATAACATATTAGGCTGACGCCTTGCAGATGTGAGCCACGAAGGACGCAGTTATATCCGATATTCCATAGGAGTGGGCCTAGAACAGACCCTTGTGGAACACCACACTCAACCCTGTGTTCCTTCCAACCTCCCCGACCCGGGTAGATGACGGTACGGGCCGAAAGGTATGATCTTATCATGCGCCGGAGGTATACTGGCACGTCATGGAAGATTAAGCCGTCTATAATGGTATTCCAGGGAATCGTGTTAAAAGCGTTTGCTATGTCTAGTGACACCGCCAGCACCACCCCTCCTTGCGCGAGTGTCTCCTCGCAAACGTCTCTTAGCCTTGCAACGGCGTCGATGGTAGACCGGGCGCGCCGGAAACCGAATTGGGTATCGGCCAAATCCGGCCCGTCCGTTGTAAGGTGTTTTACTATGCGGGATGCTAGCACTCGCTCGAATAACTTGCCTGCTTCATTTAATAAAACAATTGGCCTATAGGCCGACGGGGACTCAGGTGATTTACCCTCTTTCTTTAATAATACAAGTTTTCCCGTCTTCCAGCTACTCGGAAAGTGGCCGTTCTTTAAAATATGGGTTAGCAACTCCCGAAACCTCTCTTCCAGCCCGTTATTGAGGACATGGACCCAGACCTTCCCGTGAACACCATCTGGTCCGGGGGCTGTCTTTTTGCTCTGAAGCTTAAGTATTGCAACAGAGAGTTCCTCAGGCGTCACTTCTGGGACTTCCTCATCATAGTGGAGGTCGTCGCGAGATGTTGGATGCGAACTGTTAGCCGGGAATAGTGCGGAGACTACCGTATCCAGGAACACCGGTTCTAGAGTGGTAGTGAGTGGCGGAAGCCAGGGGCGCAGCTTGGTCATCACTAGCCTATATGGCCGCCCCCATGGGTCTAGCTCTAAAGTTTGTAAAAGATCTTCCCAAGCTTTCTCTTTGGCCTCTCCAATTGCAATGCGCAAAGTTAATTTTGCTGCTTGGTATTCGCCGTAGCACCTTCTTTCTTCTTCCGGATCGTGTGGAGCAAGGCGTCTTCGACGTAATCGGGTGTAGTGACGTCGGGCAACTACACAAGCCGTCCGTAGCTGGGTGAGTTCAGGCGACCACCAGTACATTTGTCGGCGGGGCGGAATAGGGCGGATCCTTGGCATTGCAGCGTCGCTAATACGTCGCAAAGCCTCTCCGAACCATTGCACCTCTCTATCTGCTAAGATAGTATTTGGCTTAGGGCACCACGCCTCTGTCAAAGATGCCAAAGACAGGGAGTCAAAGTCCAGTTTTTTACGGGACCATTTTGGCCCTATTTCCGGTGGAGGCTGATTTGATCTACCAGTTGCTGGTGGTAGCTGTTGATGGGGACTCACCAGGCACCGAATGTACCTATGGTCCGAAAGCGTTTCAACCTCTGTAAGTACACGCCAGTTGGAGACGCGATTTGCTAGTTCCGGGGATGCAAAGTTACATCGACGATAGAACTGCCCTGCATTCGCACGCATGTGCGTTCCGATCCTCGATTCAATATCACCAAGTTGTGAGTGGCGATCCAATCAACCACCGCATCGCCACGGGCTTCGGTTACCGGAGAGTTCCACATAGACGACTTCGCGTTGAGATCCCCTGCAACAATAACATTTAATGGTCGAGCCCATTCCACCAGGGAGCCCATTTCTGCCAGAAAGGCCTCGAACTCTGTAATACTCCGGTTCGGCGAAAAATAAGCTCCAATTACAACGACTTTTCTAGTTTAACAGCGACACAGCCGTTTCCTTTTAGCGAGGCTTGAGGCAAGCCTTCAGGCAACGAAACGGCAATCGCAACTAAACCGTTGCGGTCGCCAAACCAGTTTTCCCTCTGGGGGGATCATATACGGCTCCGATACTATTGTGATATTGATTAACCACTGCGCCATGCTCTGGAGTAACAGATCCTGAGCTTTGGCGCAGTGGTTGATGTTCGCCTGTAGGATTTGGAGGGCCATCTATGAACCAGGTGTTATCTCCATTTGCTCTGTGTCCCCGATCGGTGGGGCACCAGTGGCCGTTTTGTTCGCGGTCCACGTCCTTCTGGGCATCTTTTTGCTGGGGGCCGAACACGCGTTACCCCCAGTAGATGGTTTGCTCTTTGGCCAGCCGCAGCACACAGAACGCATTGCGGCTTTTCAGAGCAACTCCCTGCTCGGTGGTCAGATTGACCACACCGAAAACAAAGGTGACTGTGGTCCATATCCGCAGTACACCGTGCTGCTACATGACCGCCCTGGAAGCAGCGGAAACATCTCAGTTCTCGGGCCCTCAAGAGAACAACTCGGGCGGAAGCCCATCCCACTAATAACCTTCCTTCGGTCAGCTTTTTGGCCGCCGTCACTGGGCACCTGACCCATGCCGCAAAAAGGCCAGTCCTGTTCTGACGGACGCTACCGACCTTCACATTGTCCGGCGAGCAGCTGACCTTAGAGCAAATGGCTTGTTTGACCTCTTCCGGGGTGACTGTTTCATCCAGCCCCGAGATCATCAACTCAGTTGATTTAACAGGTCTGGAAACCCGGACTCTTCCGTCACCATAGACCTCCTTTAATCTAGACGCCAGAATATCCGCCTTCTCCTCACCACCTGTCCCGGGGACCTGAATGATGGTGGCCCCCGTGACAGCTCGTCTGAACCGGACCGCTTCTATACCAAGCTCAGCCAGATTTAGTTTTGTCTTCGCCTCTTTTAGGACTGCTACGTATGTAAGGCCTTTCTCTTCGGCATCCGGCGGAAGCGTTAAAACAACTGCTGCGGAACTGGGCGTACGGAGCTTCAGTTGTGCAGCTGTTGCCATTGCCTGTCTCTTAGGTTGTGCTGGAAGTTGTTGAGCACCTTCATTCTTCTTCCGGCGCAATCCTTTCTTTACCACCTTATTCCACGCTTCATTAGTAGAGGGAGCTCTGGCAGTGGGCACGGTGGTGACAGAGGGGCAGCATTAGGGACAGTTGTCCCTGTAGGCACATTCTCTTGCCTTCTCTTAGGTTTCTTCTTCTTTTTCTTCTTTTTCACGCCGTCCTCGGGTTGAGTTGCCACTGTATTCGAAGTGGGCGCTGCTGTCGTCTTTCTAACCTTGGAGGACCCCGACGTTGTTGCCACAGCCTCCGGCTTATACTTGTCAGCGGAGAGAGGTGGTCGTATGCGAGGCTCCGGGTTGAGTCTTGGTTCTATGCTTTCTATTCTAGCATTGATCCTATCCACAAGGCGGCTCATGAGCCTTGCCTCAAGGTCCTCTAAGTCCGGTGTTGGTACCGGATCTGTAGGGCGTTGCTTTATTAGCTCTCGCAACTCTCCCATCTCTTTTGGAGCGCCTCCAGAAAGTTTCGAAGCCGCTCGTTTTCACTTCGAAGAGCTCGCGTCTCATCCGAAACAGACATTTGAGCGAGTACCTCTGTGTCCTCTTTAATAGATTTAGCGACAGATTTGAGGGCGTGGACAAATGTACCCTTAAGATTTTTTGACTTAGTCGCGACTTTCTCTACCATTTGCAGATTAGCTTCGATGCGCCTCTGCGCTAGATCTGCCGTCAAAATTTCCCCTTCTGCATTCATTGCCGCTGGTGTTGGTGCGGGTTTACTCGGCTCAGTCAATGAAGCGAGGATCTCCTCCTCAGCCTGGGCTTCCTTTTCCGTTTTCTTGGCCTTTAAATAAGCAGACCTAGCAGGCGCCAAGCCCATGTACCCTCTGGTTTTTGGTGGGCGGCCTCTTCCTCTTCTTGTTGTAGCAACTTTTAGTGGGGTCCGAACAGACGACTCGCTGATTGTACTGTCGCCATCGTCTTCGCCACTCCTGGTTCGTTTGCGAGAACTCCAGAATCTAGGATATGTAGGGTCTGTACAATCCAGTGATCTGGCGCTGATCATAGATGCCGCGGAGGAATCCGATAACCTTCCAGCATCAGACGTAGGCGCGTCAACTGGATGGTCGCCAAAAATGTCCCTGGAAACGCTCGGCACCGGCGTAATACATAGAGTGCGCTCAGGCACCACGGTCACTTCTTGTAATTCTCTCAGATCCGGGTTTATTGGTTGGTCCGTGGATATCATTCTACTATCGCATGTGTTATTTCTAATGATTTTCTCCTCGCTCGCCTCGGCAAAAGCGCCGGAATCATGAAGATTGTCCCCCCCCAGAGTACGGTGGGACTTTTGCACCGGCTCTTGCGAGCAGGTGGCGGGATTTGACCCGCCTGGGGTAGTTTTACAAGTATTTGTCTTCATTTTCGCTTTAATTTTTATCCAGGTAAGACAGCTCACCCTGGGACGCCCTCGGGACCGAACTCCCCCGGCCACTCACCCCATCGCCGGGCGCCAGAAACTTGAGGTTAGGGGCTCGCCGTCAATTCGACGAGCCTCGCCAGCCTTAAAGGCCAGCCATACCACGCGCATGAAGCGCCGCTGGGGCTAGATAGAATGGCCCCCCTCTATATCCGATTCGCTTCACCAAGGTGCTGGCTTGCACCCCAGTTACTAAGCCCTCCCCGGCCACGTCAAGGCTCGGACCCCGCAGGATGGACATCTGCGGTGGGGAGGGTAATAATTCTAACCTAACCTAACCTAACCTAACCTAACCTAACCTAACCTACATGAATAAAGATCTTTAGAGTTTGAGTTTTGAGTTTGAGTTTGACAACCATAACCAGAATCTTTATAATTTATGTTCTACATCATGTACATCAAAATTAGTTCAGCAGATTGCGAAATTAATTCTGTAGTAATGATGTAAATTAATGGTACACTTATTTCTATTAGGTTTGCTGAACAAAAACAAAGCCATGATGAAAGCGAAGGCGCTCAAACAAATGACGTCAGAGGAGAACAATAACATCAACAATAAGGAAAACATATCCGATAAGGCAGCAGTCGTTATACAAAGTTGTTAGTATCCTTAATCCTTATTTATTTTAAAATTAAAAAAAATTTAATTTATTTATATATTCATTGTACCTGGCATATTATATTAATAATCGCTTAAAAAATATACTTGATTTAGCTAAAATCGTAAAAAAAAAGAAATATGAAACAGAAATATAAAAACTATTTGAATTATTAATTCAGATTATCGCGGCTATAACACGCGAAGAAAGCTCAAAAAAGGTCAAGCTCCTCCACCACCTAACCATGCTCCGCCAGCGCCACCTACACAAAAATTGTCTAACCACTCCGTACAAGAGAGAGCCGCTCAGCTTCAAATATTTGCGGAACGGGTATGTTACTAACGTATTTCGGTGATAATAACCAAGATGGCGTTTTCCACAATTACAACTTTTGAAAACACTCCGTAGTTCAGTTATTGTACGATAGATGGCGTTATCGATAGTATTTTTTGAAGTTATCTTAGTTCCTGAAATATTACATAGATAACGTTTTTAACAATACAAAAATGCTGTATGAAGCTATCGTAGTTTGTTGATTGGAACATAGATAGCGCTTTAAACAATATAAATAATTTTCTTTGATGACGTCTTCTTAGTTTCATGACTGACATATTGTTGGCGTTATTTCGTACTATTGCACAAAAACAATAAATTTTGTTGATTCGTCTACACCTCTACAAGTTACTGTACTATTAACTATATATCAATACTATAGTATTTATAGAAGCAGGGTAAGATAATTTGCTATTATTAAGGTGTGTTTTCTGTCCGTTCGCTGTTTGTTGAACTGCAATAGCCTTTTTTGTCGAGCCTTATACATAATATGTTTTTATTTAAATTTGACTTAAAATGTGTCTGTCCCATATTCGAAATATTGACTTAAAAAACAATTCAAAGCTCCTAAAATTCAAAATTCATAAATTTCTAGATCCATAACAGAAACCAGGAAATCCACAAGAATTTACGCAGGAACAAATCGGGAATTTGTCTGTCAGACATTCGAAAACCACCAGAGGAGTACCGTCCGCCTCCAGGATTTACCTTGGTTCCAGCGATTATTAGAGGAAAACCATCTCACCCAGAAATAGACGCTAGCAGACTCTCAAGGTAATTTCTATAAACAAATTCGTGAATTACCTACTCACTGAATTTCTGTCGAAGTTTCTACGATTCTATAAATTTTTTAATTAAAATTCCATTCTTAGCATATTTTTTTTTTTGTTAAATATAATTTAAGTAAGCTGTAAGAATGTAAAAGTAATGAAGAAATAAATATTTTTAGTATTAAAATAGTTATTACTATAAGTGACAACTATCTGAACTTTATATTTACTTTATAATTAGCGTTTTAATACAGTAAGCTTTTAGGTACCTACTTTTATAAATAAGTCGGTTTTGACGGCGACTAACAAATTTTAAAAGTTGTTTTAGGCTAATCTTATTCATTCTACTAACGAATATAGAATATAGATATCTAAAAAAATAAAAATACATACCGATAGATAACCTTTATCTTATTACAAGAATTTACATTATTGTAAATTTCATCAGTGATATTGTTCTCCTTGCTTCTATTGATGACCTAAAAGAGTATATAGATATATAATTTTAGCCGATAGCGTCTCGAACGGCGCTATTTGGTAAAAAAACGATAAATAAAATTTTTTAATACTGCAATGTCTTGATACAATTGAAAGTACGTTTTGATTGGGCATCGCATTGATGTATGTCACATTCTTGTTCACGCTGCAATTTTTGGAATCAGTCCGTCACCAGAGTTCTTGATGAGTCCTGGTAAACCCTGGAATAATGTGTTTTATGATGAAGAAAATAATGTAAAGCTATGTAGGCCTAAGAGGTTAGTTGGTAGATACTTAAGAGTTGCCGTTGTGTTGTTGGGTAAACAATAATAATTCAGTAGCGCTGGGTCTTTCGTCAGATTGGATTTATTTTATTGCTTAACCGTAGAGTAGGGATTCTAATTTTTAGAAAAAAACAAAATAATGATAAATTATAAGTGGGTCGGGAGGGGATCAGCCATATGAAGCCGTATGATCCAAAACAATTTTATTTCGCCGAACCAGGATCTCCGGGCTATGCATATAACGACTTCTTAATTTAAAATTAAGTAAAACAATTGAATTACGGCAGAGCCTAGAAAGTAGTTGACTTAGATGAACTGATATCCAAAAAGTATATTTTTCAACAGTCCTTTAATTTACGCACAACGGACATAATGGGCGTCTAAGTGCGGAAACTGAGTTCACACTACTACATACAAACAACAGTCCTTTAAATTTACTATAACTATATTCCAGGTCAAGCAATCACAGCGACGCTGAAGACAGACCACTTCAAAGCAACCATAATAGACAATTGTCTTGTAATAGACAGTGTGGTGGTCTTGTCAGGTATGACGATAATGACGTTAAATTCTTTTGGCCTTAATTAATATTATTTTTAACTCGCATGCCACAGTAAGGATGGTTCCCATGGGTATGAGTTTAATGACACTTTAGGTGCTTATCCATTTTTTATTGCATTATCTTGCTTATAACAAACCACAAATAGTTAGAAGAAAAGTAAAGCTCGTTAACGGATTCAAATGCGATAGAAGGATTATAGTATTATTTTTTTCTATTAAAAAACTTGTATTGTAGTCTATGCTACAAATTTTAGGTAAGATACCTAAACTATATGAAATTCTTTTTAGCGGTAGTCCTGCGTGGCTACCACGACTGCTGTATTCCATTCGAAAGGTCAATAATGCAATAAGTTCGTGGTTAAATCCGTTAATTTATTTAAATGTAGTTCGCTCGTAAGCTAAAAACAGTATTACGAAATAGATTGCCTTATGATGGATTTTCAAGCTGTAAACTGTACAAAACGTGGGAGCAGTTATACGAATTAAGTTAATAATAACGTGGTTCAATTTGGTTAAGAATTAAACGAAAATTAGTATTTATAGTTTATATAGACAGCTATTCACAAACTCTAAGCGTGTCACGTAAAGCACCAAATTCATTACATAAACATTAATTTAAACTTGAAAGGCGTTAAATTAAATTTTAAATGACTTTCATTCAGAGGAAAAGTTGGTATAATAAAAAGTAATTACGCCAACCTTTCGACACTTATCTCAGGAGCTCTACGGCTCATGCATAAATTACCAGGAACTAGGTTACCGCCGCGATGTTCTTTAAAACAATTTTTAATAAATACCCAGTTTATGAGGTTTTAAAAGGCTCAATCGCTTTTTGAGGATTTTACACCACGCAAAGTATCTAATAAGTAACCTAGAAGAAACCTATGAAAAGTTTATTTTGAATTCACAGTCGACATTCTGACAGTTCAACAGTAGGTCCTCAGAAAAACGTTCCTCATGGCAATCGAATTTTGTACCTTAGACTCTTGACATTATATTCCTTAGCTAACTACATACGTGACGTAACCCAACAAATGATAAGTCACAAACATTACACACGCAATCCTTAATAAACATGAAAAAGTCTAAACATGTTTGGGAATCGATATCACTAATGTCTCTTGGTATTTTATTAGTATCCACCTGCTAATGGATTTTAGAAGTCATAGTCCTTATACACGTATTTTTTCCACATTTATCACTCTATTTTGTAACGCACACATCAAAATACTAATGTTTACTTCATCGTTTCAGTAATAAAATAATAGAGCTGGTGAAAAAGTCACAAAAATCCGAACCACCTCCACGGCAAGTGTACAGCCCAGCTTACGATCCAGAATCAGATTTGCGTAAGATTCTTAGAAATTCCCCAGAAATGCTCGCAAAACCAATGTTTAGTTCTGACGATGACTACGGACCGTTTCGCTTTAAGCAACTGCTACGACCGACGGTTGGACCCACTGAAAGCCTTCGCAAGAGGAAAGTGAAAAACTCAGCCCAAAATCCCTGGCTCTCGGATAGTTCACAAGATAGTAATAGCTCGAAGGAGTTGTATAACAAACGGCGACCTCAAATAAGTATGGGAGTTTATTACAATTAATTTACGATGGCTCTGACAAAGTAACAAAGAATGACCCTTTCCACCAACAATAATATATATGCTACTAAATAAGGTCATAACGCCTTTTTAATAATAATTATTTCTATATGTTAAAGAGATTTAAACCATTTTTAGATAATTACATTAGATTATTAAGTTACATAATTTGTCCGTTCTTTTAGGTAAATATCCGTAAAATGGGTAGAAAATATTTTAAGTGTGAGAACTTTTAAGTATCATGGTTTAAACACATCTTAAATTATTAACAAATGTATTCTTTTTAAGATAAAAAGCATTACCAAAGTATATTTTTAAATATGTTAATAAGTTATGTATAAGTGATGCCTTCTTATTTCAAAATAAATTCTTTACTAAATACTTGAAATTTAAAGAAAATCATTGACGACTTTTGTGATAATGTGCCAATGATTATTGTTAGTTTGTCTATTATTGTTAAGATACTATGTGTGTTTTGTTTGTGATGAATAGATCTTTGTTTTTTAAAACGAGTTTTATTGATACGTCATACAGCTAACAAAGGTTCCAAGCATTAGGTGGAGCATTTAACAAAAAAATAAGTACCTACCTCTCAAAAGCGCTTCATTTGAACGAAGTTCCATGAACTAATCATTATTATCTTTTATAGATGACTGAAAAATATGTACAAGACCTGTCAACCAATATTTAGTTTTCCTAATAAATAAACAAAAATTCTCAAAATACTCGTACTGATTTGATTTACGCAACTTACATTAATACGCTAATCAGGAATGTTCCGTATATGTTCTCGGAATTGATATTCTATTTCTTCTTCCTTTCGAAATGTATGAAATACATCTTCTTGAGGAGTGTATTATCCAGAATCCACAAAATGGAGTATTATAATTCTGACATCCATAAAACGAAGAAAATTACGTCCATGGGATTATACTCCGCTGGCGCAGCGGAGCAGTAACCTAAAGTGAGCCCTGGTCTCCGAAACTAGACAACTACATCTTTGCCGATCGCGGGCCATTGGAATTCGCGTAGGTCCTTCTCCGAGATACACTTTTTCAGCACTCCGATCTTGATAGGACTATATTATACTATATTTAGAATAGCAGCGGTCGCTTTAGCTCATCGCGCGAATATTTAAGGCCATTATTGAAATACTGAACTATACGATAAAGTTGTGTTCTTGCTTAAAAATGTCTGATAAAAACAAAAATGTGATTCGACTTCGCTCGATATTTTAGTTATGCCTCGAAAATCTGACGATACACGTTATCGACTTTTTCGAAAACAAGCTTGAACACGCTGACTGTTATTGTAATGATTAGTTTTTTTTATTTTAGACACTGATTTGAAGCGGCATGTTCATTAACAAGATCAGCAGTTAAGCCAAAACTATTTGATGTGTCCATTAATGTATTCAATTGACCATAATGACATCCCTTAACAGTTGTTAGAAATATTGCTCATTAATCATTATTATATATGTACGCGACGGGTAGGTTATAGCTCCATTACAGTATGTTGAATGCTAGTAGTTTTGTTACATAGTTATTAGTTACGTTTATTCTTTACTTGTTGTGGATGCACCCCTGAATAACAGATGTTACACTAGAGATGGGATTAGAGGTTCAGCAAGCTGAGATTTTCCCAAAGCTATCGAATGATTAATTAGAGCTTAAAGACACAGCCGGTGACAGTCTAGTAATGACGTTTAAAATATTTAAAGCATGTAGGCTGTGGTCTACAAATTGATAATCAGTGCTACGTACACGTAAACAGTAAAAGTACGAATGTTTTTTATAATTGGCGTTCTCTATCAAAACAGAACACGCAAGGTTGTGTAGTTTTATAATCCCACAAGAGTACGTGTGTACACGCAAACCTGTGTTTACCGTGGGCGGGCGGCGCGGCGGGCGCCACGTGAGAACTGCGAGCCCGGCGCCCGCGCAGTCGCGCCCGCGCACGCGCCGGCCATGGCGGCCGCCGACTTGCCAGATTTCGAAGCTTATCTCTCGAAAATTAAAACACACTCCATCGAGAAAACGCTACTCCCACTCATCAAGCAGGTACGCTAAACACGCTTTGCTCATTTCCGCAACTTCATCGAATCCTGTCACTACGCTCGTAAAGATACCACGTTACACGCGTCCTCTACGTCAGAACTTCGATAAACTGACGGAATTATCGGTGCTCTTACGCACTGTCTAAAGCGGTAGTTATATTTTTAGATTTACCCGCGTCAATGCACGACAGTTCACGTCAAACTCTAAATTTCCCGCCTATTCGACATCTGTTGCATACGATTTCGCGTCGGCGCAGTACATGCAAGCTGACGTAATGAGTACATTTCGAAAATTTATTATATCAACGTAACAAACAACAGTTGCATCGCGAGAAGGGATCATTACCTTTCTTTATAAAAATGTGCGGAAATGACTGATTGATAAAACGCGATATGAAGAGGAAGGAGGGCGGGCGGCCACGTGGGTTTGTAAGGGTGGGAGGGCGGCGGGGTGCAGGTGTCGGCAGCGATCGATGGCCGCGGGCGAGGGTCCGGCAGTGCCGCGGCGGAGGCAGGCTGAGCGGCGCCCTGCCGCAGCGATCCGCCCGCGCGTCCACACGTGCGCGCCGACTCAGCGCGCCGCCGCAACGCGGGCCCTAGCTTAACGCACACAGGAGACATGGACGCGCTATCCGATGACGATGATTACACGTGCCGGGAGCCCCAGGTAAGAGCTGACTGCATATAACACAGAGCTCAGTGTACGTTGAATTCCTGGGGCTTCAAATATATCAATTCAACAAGTAGTTATGCCAAAAACTTGAACAAGAACGACCTTGAACGAATTTCGCGGCCTTCTTATTTCCCCGGCCAAAGGCGCCGTTAGCTGTTAAGGCGCTATGATGCCAAACTGTCTCGATAGGTTGATTATTATTCAAGTCTTCGTTGAACATTGCATATTTATAAGTGTAATTAATGTTTCAAATAAATTATTTCATTAATTAAATAGTCAAATAATGAAAAAGCGTCCGTCAGAACCCTTTGTGTTATTGTTTAAGACGAGCAATAAGGTATTTGATTAATTATTTGTTCTGGGACTACAGTACAAAAGATATGTGTTGTTTGATGCTATATGACTGTGATGTGAAATATTTAAAAAATCCTTATCCTAAAGTTTCGTCTTTTACATTTCATTAATTTTTATGTTACAGCCATTACACACATAAATCATTTTATTACATAAAAACATTTGATCGTTTACATTACACAACGTATATATACATTATGTACTTGTTACAGTATGTATATACACATTTCCATAGGTTTACTTCAACTAAGTAGATATTGTTAAAACAATTAAATTATAAATATACAAATCACAGGCGAAAAAATCGGTATTTAAATTGTATTTAAAATTCAAATTCAAATATTGTTTGACATTAATTTCAATTCAAATTGTAATAGACCACAAGCCCATGAACAAAAAATACCTGTGAAATGACCCAACGTGAATTACGCTTATAAGGCTGTTACTATATCTGAAAATAGCTCTGAGCACTATGCCGTCATTTCTGAGCGGTACATGTGAGTACGTGAGTGAATGGACTTTCTCAGGTACAATTGGGGAATTTCGACTAACTATTAATGTACGGCTTTGTTATAAGTGTATAGATGATTAAAAATAAATGTCGAAAAACCTAGTGCCGTACTAAAGTGATGGTGCCGGAAGTCGGTGCAAATTTTTAATTCGACGACAGTTGCAGAAGCAATATAGGTCATTTATTACTGTACGGCATTTGTGTGATTCCTTTTGGACACATATACAGATACTTTACCCGTAAACGCCGTACATATTTCCAGCGGAGCGGCCGAAAGCCAAGGGTCGCAACATATGTCTGATTAGCATATAGGTGATGATGATATAGAACAACATAAAATTAAATGATCTTGAGAGTACTTCACAAATAGGTAACATTTTCCAGCATGCCGTACATTTTTTGTGGAACACATAGGTGTATGAAGTAAATTACTTTCCTCAGAAAAGAGTCATTTTCCGGTGACTTTTATCTGTACGGCAATAACACAGGTTATTAATACTTTAGACAATCTTTAATAAAAGATAAATGCCGTACACTTTCGATAGTCCGCTAGTCTGTGAAATGGCAGATTATACCACCGCCTACCAATACTGGGCGTCCCAAAGTTAGGGAAAATGATGGGAAAGTACCTTAAATATCGTAGATAGGGTATTTTACTAAAAGAAGACTTTATGTTATTTTTAAAAGTAGCATCAAAGTTATTAGGTTTTAGCCATTCTTTCGATTGGCATCATAAAAGTAGGGGTGTTTTTTTTTTTAATTTAAGCCGGTTCGATTTCCAGACGAGGCAAGTATTTTTTTAAAAATCTTTGAATGCAGAATTACTAACTTTTAAAAATAACATAAAGTCTTCTTTTAGTAAAATGCCCTATCTACGATATTTAACGTACTTTCCCTTTATGTCCGATAACTTTGGGATGCCCTGTATTATATTTTTATTTTTGTTAAAAATATTTTTCCTTTACCTCTCTCTGCTGGTACGATAAGGCTGTAAATATACTTTACAGCCTTATGGTAGTATACTCAGATACGTACAGTTATTAATGACCTTAAGGGACACCTCAAACGTCGTCGAAGTTTTTATCAGCTGTAAAGAATAATCTGAAGTAAAATGTACGGCATCTGGTTTTTTTTTGTTTATTTATATTTGTTACATATAAAATAACAATAATCTTTGAAAATATTACTCTAGGAGCATTTGAAAAGTCATCTAAATTTCGGAAATTTCATATATTTTTTATCATAATATTTTTATTTGTTACCATTTATAATGAAGGTAATATTTAGTAACATTATGTAAAAAAACTAGTTGCCGTACATTATTCTCTGATCTTACAGCAGTAAGAACTTGGTAAATCCTGAAATTTCGATAAATATTTATTTACACAAATATTAACTATAAGTTTTGGACGGCATAATTATAAAACATTATTGTCCGTGTTAAATAATATTTTGAACATGTTACCGTACATTTTATAATGACCTTAGGGTATATGGGTGTAGGGGTAGGGTTCCGACCCTTGGCTTTCGACCGCTCCGCTGGAAATATGTACGGCGTTTACGGGTAAAGTATCTGTATATGTGTCCAAAAGGAATCACACAAATGCCGTACAGTAATAAATGACCTATATTGCTTCTGCAACTGTCGTCGAATTAAAAATTTGCACCGACTTCCGGCACCATCACTTTAGTACGGCACTAGGTTTTTCGACATTTATTTTTAATCATCTATACACTTATAACAAAGCCGTACATTAATAATTAGTCGAAATTCCCCAATTGTACCTGAGAAAGTCCATTCACTCACGTACTCACATGTACCGCTGAGAAATGACGGCATAGTGCTCAGAGATATTTTCAGATATAGTAACAGCCTTCTAAGCGTAATTCACGTTGGGTCATTTCACAGGTATTTTTTGTTCATGGGCTTGTGGTCTATAACATTTGTAATTCAAGCTATATTTGAACTTGTATTAGTAGAATTTCAACTATAAGTGACAAACAGATATATCCACCAAAAGTTTTCCGTAACAATATATTGAACACATCTATTTACCATAGCTGAAAACAATTCTTCCGTCTTTCTGGAACATAGAGCAAACACTTTTTGTCTGTTTTCGCTTATCGCTTTCGTTGTAGGGAACGGTCTTAATACACCATGCCCGTGTTATCCCAGTTCTATTAAAAGGTTCGCTTTAGATCTGTTAATTTTAAAATTACAGATTAGCAGTCTGGTGTCAACGAGAGGTGATGCAGCTGGTGGAGCCGCGGTACAGAGAGTAGGAGCTGCCGTCGCGTGCGCAGTGGAACGATTCGTTGCCGTGGGAGAAACTATAGCGGATGACAATCCAGACGTTAGGCACAGTATGGTTCTTGCGTGTAAAGAGGCGCGGTCAGCAGGTAAGAATTTCTTTATTTACAAAATAACATTCAAACAATCAATTATTTAGTTAAAGTAATGTAAAAAATCATTTAATCATATAGGTAACAATGTACACTCATGACTTGTCAGTAAAGAAATACATATTAAATATTAATGCTTCTAATTTTACATTTACTACCAGTTCTGAAATCAACGGCGTAGAACGGAACAGAAGAACTGGCAATAAACTCTCCGCCACTCTTTTTAATCGCCATTTTTTTTACACTACGTTTGTAAGGAGCTGAAACCATTACACCATGTTCCACATGACATATTAAGTAATTAATAATAATAACATAAATTAAAAAAAAACAAAGACTTGTCCTCTATCAGCAGGAGGCATGGTGAAATAGGAGCACGCACTATCATTCTCGTAGGAACAACACGCAAACAGATAGTCGAAATAACTAACATCACCGCATACACGAATTCAAGTACGACCAGTCACCACAAGTAGCACCCGTTCACGAGTATGACGCATGGCCAACCTTCGGGCCCCTCGCCATATTTTAGGGAGAGAGACAACCCGACGCATGGACACCGCCACAAGCGTGTGATTCCGATAGTTACTTATGCTTTTAAACACATCTATCCTTAACTCCGAATCTGTTCCTATAAATAGAAAGATCGATCGATTTAGCAGTACCATGTATTATTGTCAAGTCAATGTGAACACTTTTTACCATATTTAAAATATTAGTAATATTTGACCCCACAGAATTACGATGTTATTATAAAATCTATTGTACGAGAATCTATTAAAGTATACTCAGTGACACTGTTCGGTAAATGGCGTGGAAAAATAGTTCAAGTATTTATGTGCACGTCCTTTGTTCAACATTTAATGATAGTTACAAACTGAGCGAACAGTATCTAACTTCATATTGAAATTGCCTAACTTTAGACATACATTGACGGTGGATAATGGTTGGCAACTATAACAGTATTAATGCTATTATAAACAAGACGCCGAGAATATAAAGGTATATTTATAACAATGAAAACCAGCTTTGCATTTATTCAATGTTATACTAAATTATGTTAGGGCTTGTGTCACTGTACTTGTAGGGATTTTTTAACCAAGTGACATTTTGATATTTCGTTCTACAGCATGTCGCTACCTTGCTTTACGATCACAAGTTGAGTGGGCACATTGAAAATCATCAGTTTGCCGGGATTAAAACGTAGGACCTTATATGTACTAAGCATTGTGTAACAGTGTATTATTTTAATCAACGACAAGTAGTAGGGATGAAAAGTTTTAAAGAGTTTATTAAAATATTTTCGTTTTTACATATTCACTTGTTTATATTCAGTTCTAGTGTTTTAATTATCATCTGACAATTGCTCACGTTACTTGGTGTGATTTTAGTCAACATCAGGTACGTATTCTAAACCATATATCGAGTGCCATAGAATAATATATCCTAAGATACTCCAACTAGCTAGCTAACTAGACTGAAGTCTCAGTCATGTTAAAAACAGCACTGAGAGCTTAAACCAAATAAAAAATTATGTTCAGGAAAATCAACAAATCCTATATTGTAAAGAAAAATGCAGCATACACATAATAGGATAATCAGCTATAGCAGGTATCCATTTACACATCTAATTTCCTAATGCCGCTAATCGCCGACTTACAGAAAATCAAGGCTATGATATCGTAAAGCCTCCATAAATTTGTGTCAACCACCTGACCCGAATTTCAATGTTCGAACGTTATTGCGAGTTTCAAACAAAAGAAAACGATAGATCCTCTGTCTATCCAGAAAGGGTGATTCATGAATCAATATAATATGGCTTACACACTTATTTGCATGTCTTTGCCAATAGCGTTCAGATTTTCAAAGGTGCTATGATAGTAGAATTTTAAAGCAATAAAGTGACATTTATTTTCGTGGATGATATAAGTTTTTTTGTCTTATGATGGATAATTGTTTCAAAGGTTCATAAATTAGTAGTCTAAGCTGTTGACAATTGACAGGTATAACATATCCAACACATTTGCAATTATCTTGTACGTTCGGAGAATTATTGTAGAACATTGACCAACTGCTGACACGGCTCACGTGGCTGTTCCATACTTCAATAGCTGAAGATGCAAGACACTGACAGCTTACAAGAGTAATTTTTAATATTATGTATTATTTGAACATTCAACAACTGCTGACCCGGCTCACGTGGTTGTTCTAAATTTTAACAGCTAATATGATGTATGTGTAAAAAGGTGTAAGTAGTATTTAAGATGTTATTTTATAACAATAACTAAGATTTGAATATTGCTCTGTCTTATTCGTTTCCCGCTTCCTCTCAAAGTGGCAAAGACTCATTCAAGCCCTTAATGGTCATGGTGAGCCCGATAGCTTTGAGATAATCCCATTACCTTGAACGTTTGATTCTACGCGTAGGGCTCCGTCTGTTACCTTAGGTCTCTTGGTTCAGACATCCCAAACTTTTTTTTTATATTTGCTATTTATATGTTAGGGTACATGTGTAGGGCTTAGGAATCCGTAGGGTTGTTAGGTTCTAACGTCTCACCCTCTCATAGTTATCTAGTGCAGCTTGCTAATACATACATTATATATAATATACTCCTGACATTTGATACTTATACATTGAAACACACGTTCGAAAGCCACTGGCTGGCTGTTGCACAGTTCTGAATATTGAAAGAAAATCCTTTTAAGATAATATAATAGTGATCGTCATCGCTCAAGACTACCATGATCCATAAATGACAAAAAAACGTATTTTGACTCATTTTCATTTATCATTTTATGTAAAACTGTAATAGTTATAAATCTATCTCATAAACAAAGAATGCCAAAACCAAATGCGCGCTAATAACTAAAGACAAGCATTCCTTCGTCAAAATCGTTTTCAATTTACCCAATGGTAAGAAGATCAATCACGCAAACGTCAGCAAAATTTGTCCGAAACAAATTGCTGATCTGATTTCGAGAGTTATTTTACAGTATTGATTTATATTTTCATCAAAACATGAGGACGTAAATTCCAAAATGGAATTAGTAAATTTGCACTTGGTTATGCACCACGCTATTTCAATAATTAATATATTAAAAAAAACTATACTATTTAGTTTAATATTTTCTTTTGTTTATTTGCACAGTAATCTATAATTCCATAAGACAACTAAGTATATGTTCATAACATGTACCTGTAAGTTGGGTTTGTGTCGCGCGTATTGTTGTGAAATTTTGGTTTCTGTATCACGTACAATAATATAGTCAAAATCATAAAACCTGTGAGTTTCAGAATTTATTTTCAACGTGTGCAAATTAATGTATAAAATGCCTTATGTCTCGATGGTAAAACAACAGAAGCCTATTAAACAATACAAACAGAATATTCAACTTACATTGTATTTATAAAAAATTTCCCGCGTAACAAGATTATAATATGGGAATTATACAAATCTAATTTTGAATAGTCGTATGACCTTCGCACCTGCTGCCTAATCAAATGGAACAATAATTCTATTAGTACGGACCATTTTACGACATATTTCTACTTGCGAAGTCACAACCATCAGTATTTATTCACACCTAATCTCACATAACAGCCTAAAATGAACGAGATTTAATATTTCTCGCAATGGTGAAATTCAGCCTTATATTAAAATTAATATAATATTAAAATTCCATTTTTTTATAAACCTTTGTGTATTGAATTCTATACAAATCAACATAAGTATTTTCAAAGAAATATCCTTGTGTTCTTGTGAGGTGTATCGTGATTTTCTGTTTACTTACAATATGTAAGGCTGCAAACTAATGTTATCTGTCGGAAAAGCTAAGCCACTGAGTAAACAATTGATAGTTGCCCCGCGCAGCTCTGAGAAAACTGGGTCTTAGCTATAATAATTTGTCAACTTTATATCCTATCTACCATCTACATTTTAGCGTTTTCATTATTCATTGTTTGCACCCGTAAAAGCGATGTAGCGTAAATTCCGTCTCAAACACCTTGATGTTACCTGCTCAAGTACATTGACTCTACCTTCTAACCACGTACGCCTCGTAAATGAGTTTCACATAAATTTCAACGCTCCATTTATTCACGAACATTACGGCTATTGAACATTTAATATTTACGACGGAGCGATGGTAATGAAATCGGAAACTTTTGTCATTACGCAAGTTAAAATATGAAGAATTTACGATGATAATAATTTAATTTTTTATGGATACTTCACATACTGTACTAGTAATTCACTCACTAGAGGGCTATGGTACCTCACACACTTTAAATTAATTAATAAAAAATACAGTTCTAACTTATTATTATTGTCCAGATTATATTGTAGTAGATTAATAATTAATATCATTTGTTTCACAGAAAATCTCTTGTGTTATAGTACTTTAATAGGATTATAAGGCAATTACAAAGGTGTAGTGTGAGTTACATTAATTGTTAGTATTAAATCGGTTACTGTAATTACATGTTAGTACTTAATACCTTAAGTCTTGTTTAGGTAACTTCATACAATTATCATGTCGCTCCTAGTCTAAGAATATACATAGAGAAATATTCTAAATAAGGTGGCCTCGCTTTATATAATGACCTAGGTAAGCTATACATCCTCGAGTGAGTCGTAAAACCGAAGTTTTGAAAGCTTTATTGGGCAACAACATTTTTAACTCCGACTATAGATTCACGGCACAGCTGGGTTAGCCTAAAAGGTTTTATTTTTTTTTTATAAAATTATCACCGTGAAAATAAATGTTAAAGGAGGCAATTTTTGAATTTGGAATTCGGAGTGGCGGTTTTTAATCAGTTTAAATAAAATTTAGTCCTCAATTTTACACATAATAGTGTTTTTATTATTACTATTTTTGCATCATCGCTTACTTATTATTGGATACATTATTACGTTTAATATAATTTTAGCACACTTGTTTATATTTAAATTACTAATTTTATCCTAAATTGGTTTAAACTACATATTTTGCCGACCACTAAATTTGTTCAATGATATTAATAAGAACGGGTTAATAGCACAATGGTTAGAGATAGTTTACTATTCTAATTGTTAATTTCTTAAACTATTATGCGCTCAGTCTATAAAGTGCACTTTTTAACAATCGATTTAATCATAAATTAAGTTATTAAAGATTAGCGAGACTTCAGTTTTCTTTGTCTCATTCACAAAGGGCAGACTTTGAACTTTCACCTTTTCGCTAGTATCTTATTATTGTTATTATTTTATTTTACAACAGACTGCGGTTTTTGAAATGAAAAATAGTTTGCTTATAAATTGTCTATTTTATATAAATGATTAGATATTTTAGAAATACTTATGTAATGTGCATAATTTGTATGGTCTTTTCCTGGTCCATTTTCCAGTACTTGTTCACTCATTCTTAATTTTTAACACTAAAATTATTATTTTACTTTTTTTTTAACTGTTTTAAACATGTACCATGTACCACCGAATAATTGTGTTCTAGTTTCCCACAACACAGGGCTCCCCTAGTGTGGGGACTAGCGATAAATGAATCTTGTCACAACCCTTTTTTTCAAATAAAGTTTTTATTATTTATTATTATTATTTTCGAACAGTTATCGTGTGTTAATAAAAGTCATATTGTAGGAAACAGTTTTTATAATCTCCGGGAACAGACCCAATTTTGTAGAACTGTGAATGGAACTTTTGTATTAAAAGGATGCCTCAGTGAAACTCAGAGTCACATATTGGACCGGTAGTTCTATTTATGACTAACCTTCCTATGGTATAAACTTTAGGGAAAAGGTTTTTATGATTATTTGGAATTTTCTTGATGCGTTACAATCTATACATAGTATTATTAGAAACATCCTCTTTTTGTATTCTTAGTAAATAGTAAAAAATATCACTAAAACCTTACAACGCGAGTCATGTTAGTTAAACGCTTATAACCTGTAATAATGAATAATTTTAATGAGCTATTCCTGTATGTCTTTTTTTTTTTCTTGGGGAAATGCGCTACGCATACCCTCCCGCGGCACGGTTGACCTGGTAGTGAAGGGTTATGTGGGACTCGCTGTTGTGCATACCCACTAAAACCCCACGGCGCCACCAGCAATCGCCCGGGGCAGGACACGCTAACAGCGTAGCCTTGTCCGCATCCAGCCACGCGATCAGCCGTTAATATCA